GAATTTAAAAAAATTTAATTAAATAGTCATTTGAAAAAAAAAAATTCACACAGGCGGTCTCGAACCCAGCTTGGGCATGTGACAAAATATTAGACGCACGCTTAACCACTACGGCTACCGCGCTTCATGCTAAATGTTCATTATCTATCGTACTTCCCTTACAGTTAGAAAATGCTTAAATTTAGATACATATTTCTTAGAAACTAAGGCCCATACACCCAAAACCTCTGACATGGTTTAATAATTTTACCTCCCCTTTCGAATGCACTATAGCTCATTCGAAAGTAGAGTTCGCACTTCGTGGCATCTCCTTGTCAGATTCAGAACGGCTCGGAGAGGGTGATTGCGTATTATAGCCGAGTCCTTAGTAAAGCTGAGAAGAATTACTGTGTGACCCGTCGAGAACTTTTGGCCATTGTGGAATCGCTCAAATCTTTTCATCATTATTTATATGGAAGGAAGTTCCTAATTCGTACAGATCATATTTCTCTTCGCTGGTTAATGTCTTTTAAAGATCTAGAGAGTCAGTTAACCCGGTGGCTTGAAGGATTACAACAATTTGAATTTGAGATAATCCATCGAAAGGGTCGGCTGCATCAAAATGCTGATGGTTTGTCGAGACGACCTTGTGCCGAAAAGAGCTGTGCTTATTGTGCTAAAGCTGAGTCTAAAGAAAATTCAGTGGCCCGTATTGGAGGAGAAAAACTTGGAGGATTGGCGCAGAAAACAATTAGAAGACCCTGTAATTTCATTATTTCTTCGAGCTAAGGAATTAGGAAGACGTCCGCTTCACGAGGAAGTTTCTTTGCAGGATGTTTCGGCAAAAATTTACTGGTCGTATTGGGATTCCTTAATTTTAGAAAATGGTGTTCTTTTCAAGAGATGGGAATCTCGGAATTTGAAATCTTTCGTTCTTCAGATTATTGTTCCCAGGAGTTCCATCAGTCGAATACTAGAACTTGCCCACGATTCTGTTACAGGCGGACATTTTGGAGTGAATAAAACATTAGATAAGATTCGGAAAGTTTCTATTGGGCTACGTACAAACATGATGTGGAGGACTGGTGCCGTTCTTGTGTAGCGAAAAAGGGTCCTTCGGAGAAGGGAAAATCTCCAATGCAAGTATATAATGTAGAGACTCCATTTGAAAGGGTCCAAATGGATATTCTCGGTCCTCTTCCTACTACTTCAAACGGAAATCGATACTTATTGGGTACGGTCGATTGTTTCACGAAATGGGTTGAGGCTCTTCCATTAAAGAATATTAAAGCTAATACGGTAGCGGAGGCTTTTGTGAGTCAGATAGTTTCCCGTCATGGAGTTCCTTCGGAGATACATACCGATCAAGATAAAAACTTTGAATCAAAGATTTTTCAAGAGGTGACACGCCAGTTAGGGATTAGGAAAACTAGGACTACTGCTTTACATCCACAGTCTAATGGACAAGTTGAACATCATCACCAGACGATTTTAAATTATTTAGCTAAATTTGTTGCAGAAAATCAAAAAGATTGGGATAGTTGGATTCCTATGTTTTTATTGGCTCCGTAATCGTCCGGTAATCTGCAGCAGCAGCTCAGAGTAGGACAAGAGGACACAACGGAGCTCAAAGGAAATGTGCCGTCCGGTAATCTGCAGCAGCAGCTCAGAGTAGGACAAGAGGACACAACGGAGCTCGACAATTCGTGAAAATTTTGGAAAGTCCTTCTGCCTTTAATTGTCGGGACGACAATTTAATAAGGAGGGGGCAAGTGTTACGGCCCTGATGTCCGTGTTCATCGGGACGGCGCCGATTAACGAGAAGAAGCACGTTGTCAAGAGGTTGTTGAGCAGCGTCTGTCATTTGAGTTCGGTTCCAGCTGTCAAGCTGCGCGGACGTGTATTTGTATCGAGCCGATCCGTTTTGCTAATATTGTGTTTAAACGTTCTGTGGTTACGTTGTAGTGTTCTGTATTGTGGTGTTGAGTATTAAAGCTCTTAGTTCCTTACAAAAGTGTTCATTCATTTCGCGCGTCTCGCGAGCGGCCGATCTCTTCGCGCGCTTCTTCGATATTAATCGAAGTCCTCGCCGCGGGCGTAACAATATACAGAATTATTTGAAAACATGTTACATTTTTTAAATATAATTAGTTGTCTATTGTCGACATTAAATATTTGATTATGAACTTAATGTTTCAATATTAAATAATTACATTTTAAATTATAATTACATTAAAAAGACATACAATATATATATATATATATATATATATATATATATATATACGAGTATATTAATATTACTAAAATATACTTTGATATTTTCTATACACTTTAAGTAACTACTAATAATGCATTTATCATTTTTGATCCATTTTCACAATTAATTAAAATTGATTACATTCTGAAAATCTAGAATTTAAATTATATATTGCGAATTATTAATTAATATCACTATCAATTTCTTGAGTTGCTTATAAATATATACTTTATGATATTGCTAAAATTTCTTTTTAAATAAGAACATATTAAGATAAATTTGCACAGATGCATAATGCATATACACAGAAAAATTAATCAATTATATATTTAATACAAAGAAAATAACAATGATATCTTATATATTCTACATGCGATTAGTTAATTTTTTTATGTATATACATTATACATCTATGCAAATATGCAATAAGCTTTGAGGGCATAACAAATTGTTCAATTACAATCAAACATTTTCACAATGTATAAGAATGTTATGATTATTTGACATGGGATTCTACGGTTATTAAAACTTTTTTAGGTGCAATGATAGAGCGAAAAGCAAAGAAAAAGAATACTCATTTTGAAGAGCATATTTTGCTTTGGTCACAGATTCAGTTTACATCGATCGTTTGATACTCTTATCGAGTAGTGTATTTGAGCTGAATAAAAAATAATTAAATTAATTTAATAATTCTACTTTACTATTTATTATTTTTTATTACGTTACTATTTAATACACATGTCAAACAATTAGGGTAAAGTAGATCATAATTTTCCCACATTATATAACTTATATATCTAAAGATACTTTTAGTATTTTTCCTCTGTTTACGATATTCATCAATTAGGGGGAAGGAAAGAGAGAGAGAGAGGAAGAGAGTGATTTATATTGGGACAGAAATATTTCCTCTCTCTTTTTCAATACGAGTCATATTATCTTTCTGTATATCTATGGTTGCAGTTAATGTAAATAGCTGATAATGCAATGCTCTTCAATTATTTTGAAATGTATTTTCTCTCCCTCTCTCCTTCTCCCTCTCTTCCTCTCTCTCTTCCCCTCTCTCTCTCCCCCCTCCCCCCTCTCTCTGCCTTTCTGAGAAGACGTGTGTCACATCGCTCCGTCGAAATACTAAGTTTTCACCGGTAAATAGTGAGAGAAGACGTAAAACAAGTTGTTTAAATTACGTAGCTATAGACCGGGGATAGCTTTGAAAGTTATCTAGCCGAGATATGGCGATATGTGAAGGTGAGCAGTAAATTTATTGTTCAGGACATCGAAGTCTCGAAAGACAGGGAGACATTATACGTGGACACAATAGTGCTGACGTGTGAAAGTGGATCACAGGTGACTGATCGCATTAGGCTGATATTAACGGATTCGGCCGGTAATTATCGGCATGGACGATGAATATGCAGAGTATCGATGCTCGGCGTGTAGGAAAGCAATAAAGAGCAAAGTAGTTAAATGTAAAACTTGCTCAAAGCATTTTTACCATCCGGGATGTGTTAGTAAGCATAAAATTCTCGACGGGAATCAAGAATACGTGCCGTGTAAAGGCCCATTCGAAGAGTTTCAGGTTGAGAGTGAGAAAGATACAAACATGAAGAAAACGCCGACAACGACAGGAAGAGATAGGACATCATCTACAGGATCTGTAGGCTCTACAGGTTCGTTCATAACACCGAGCAGTGGAAGTAAAGGATCAGCCATTGATGTAAAAGTAGACTGGATCATAAAGACTGTAAAAGAAATAAAAAATGTAACAACTTGTAAAAATGAAATTAAACTAATGATTCAAGAAGTAGTGCAAAAAGAATTAGGAAATGTTAAACAAGAACTGGAAAACCTGAGGAAGGTGATACAGGGAGTAGCATGTGGAGCAAAGGAAGGATCGCTAAGAAGCTATAGTGAAGCGGTTAAAGAGAAGAAAAAAGAAAATGTCATAATTGTTAAGCCGAAAATGCAACAAGAGAGTGAAACCACTAAAAAGTTAATAAAAGAGAAGGTGGTCATTAAGAATATGACTATGGGAATAATGAAACTAAGAAAAGGAAACAAGGGAACAGTGATTGTGGGTTGTGAAGCTGGAGAGGAGGTGAAAAAACTGAAAGAGACAGTCCAAGCTAAGCTGGGAGAAAATTACAAAGTGATGGAGTCGCCTCAATCGAAACCAAAGATAAAAATTATTAACATAGGTTTAGAAGAGATGAACTTAGATGATAGTGAACTTATAAGTACGATAAAGATACAGAATAAAATAGATACAGTAAATATGCGAATTGTGAAGAGAATAGTCAAAGAAAAGAGAAATAGCCAATCTGAAAGAAAAGGAAATGAAGAAGGATCAATAATAATGGAAGCAGATGAAGAGACGCACGAGCTGATATTGAAGAAAACAAAATTAAATGTAGGATGCAAGAAATGTCCTGTTTTTGATCACATCAACGTTAAAAGATGCTTTAAATGCTGGGGATATTATCATATCGCAAAAAACTGTACGCGAGAGGAAACATGCCATAAATGCGCAGGAAGTCATAACTCGCGTGATTGTACAGCGACAAAGAAGAAATGTGTGAATTGTGTGTTCAAAAATCGAACATACAATCTGAAGATAAATGACGACCATAACGCCCTTAGTCCGGAGTGTCCGACTTTTATGAGGGCGCTACAGGAGGAGAAGAGGAGAGCAGGCTGGGAGGACGCTAAATAGCAACCACAGGAAGAAGCGGAGCTAATACTATATACAAATGCGCAAAGCTTAATGGCACACAAAGATGAGATACAACATCAGATTATGAAGAAAATAAATCCTATGTTCTTGGCATTATCGGAAACTAGACTGATTGATGATATCGAAGACAGTGAAGTGAACGTCCCGGGTTATAGTATAGTTAGATGTAATGCTGAGAATAGAAATACGGGAGGAGTTGTTCTATATGTAAGGAGCGAAATTAAATACGAGATAGTATTAGTAAAAAAATTAGAATCGAATTGTTGGTGTGCTGCGATAGAAGTGAAAGATAAAGTATATAAAGGAGTGATAATGGTAATATATCACTCACCGAGTGCATCGCACGGGGATTTCATGAGATTCTATGAGGAAATAGTGGAGGAGTTGGTAGTAAAGGGAGAATGCATAGTTATAGGAGATTTTAATATAGATCTTAGGATGGATTCGTTTTATGCGAAGAAATTGCAAGCAACAATGTTAAGCTTGGGTATGAAACAGTATGTTAACGAACCGACGAGAATTACGAAAGACAGTCAGACAATTATAGATTTAATCTTCGCTAATAATGATAAAATAGTACAAGTAATTCATGAACCTAAAATAACGGATCACGCGTGGCTGAAAGTTGAGATGAATGTCAGCAAAATTGAAAGTAAATATAGAGAATTTATTGTTAGAAATTATAAAGAGTTTGATGTAAATGAATTTGCTATATTAGTGAAAAATAAACTACAGAAAAGTCAGGGATGTCAATGTGAACGTATGGATGTCAGTGAGAGAGCGAAACAACTTATCGATAGTATAGTGGATGCGTTAGATGTAATGGCACCGAAGAAAAAATATAGAATTCCGAAAGTATGGGAAGGGAAAAAGTGGTTTTCAGATGACATAAGAGAGGCTGCGGATAGAAGAGATAAGGCTTATAGAAGAGCATTGTATGATGATATTGAACAAAATTGGTTGCAGTATAAAATTGAAAGAAATAAAGTATTAAAATTAATCAGGGAGAAGAAGAAAGATTACTATGAAAATATGATAGATCTTAATAAAGAAAACCCTACATCTATGTGGAAAACATTGAAGGAAATAATTAGTGGTGAACCAGTAGGTATAAAAGAAGTAGGAAATATAGATTTTGAAATCTTAGGCGACACCGAAGAGTGCAATATAGCTGATAAATTTAATTTATATTATATACAAAGTATTAATAACATAGTAAACTCTATAAAGATCGATAAATCCGGTGGTGATATAATTGATCATTGGATGAATGTAAATAAGAAAACTATTTATATTATCAAAAACAAAAGAATTATGGAAAACTTTGAGACTGTTAAACTAGAACAGCTAGAAAAAGTTGTTATGGGATTGCCAAAAAAGAAAGGTACGGAAGAAGGGATAACCAGCGATATTGAAGACAGTTTTATCGGTAATAAAAGAGGAATTTGCGAATATAATAAATAATTCTTTAAGAGAAGGTTTGTGTCCGGAAGGATGGAAAACCTCGACGATAATACCAATCTCAAAGATAGATAAAGCGGAAAAAGCGAGTGATTATAGGCCTATTAATATGTTATCAATATTTGAGAAAGTGTTAGAATTAATAGTTAAAGAACAACTTGAAATGTACTTGGAAATTAACGATATTATAACAGAACATCAGTCGGGGTTTAGAAAATACTATTCGTGCGAAACAGCGATCCAAACTGTCATTGATGAATGGAAATTAATAGTAAGTGATAAAAAAATGGTAGGAGTAATTTTTGTGGACCTTAAGAGAGCGTTTGAAACAATAGATAGAGAAAGATTATTAGAAAAAATGTATTATTATGGAATTAGAGGAATGGCTTTGGAATGGTTCAAATCATATTTAAATAATAGGAAACAGCAAGTGCGAGTCAATCATGCGTGGTCTGAAATATTGACAACAGAGTACGGAGTGCCACAAGGTTCGGTACTAGGACCTTTACTATTTATAATATATATAAATGATATAATCGAAGTCTGTCCAGAAGGGTGTAATATTAAAATGTTTGCAGACGACACGCTTATATATGTAATTGGAGAGAGTAGCGCGGATATAGAGGTAAAATTGAATACGGTTTTTAATATAATTGAACGTTGGATGAATATAAATAAGTTAAAAATGAATGCTAGTAAAACGAAATATATGATAGTTAGAAGTACTCGAAAAGAATTGAAAAGTAATACGGTTTTGAAATGTCTGGATGGAATTGAAATAGAACGAGTGAAAAATATGAAATATCTAGGTATAATTATTGATGACAGACTTCGATTTCAAGATCACTGCGATTATATGATAAAGAAAATAGGTAAAAAAACAAGTTTCTTAAATAGAATAGGTAATGATATATCAGTCTATACTAGATGCATTATATATAAGACAATCATAGCTCCTCACTTTGAGTATTGCGCGATGCTATTAATAGGCATGGGGGAGACACAGATAACCCAATTGCAGAAGGTACAAAACAGAGCTATGAGAGTAATACTTCAATGTGATAGATACACCAAAGTGGATGACATGCTAGAAGCGTTGCAGTTTATGTCAGTAAGACAAAGATTGCAATATAATATATGTATATTTATTTTTAAGATATTAAATGGTTTGCTGCCAACTCAATTAAGGAATAGGTTGCAGATAGTAGGGAAGGAATGTGATAGGGAAACAAGACAAGCGGGTAGTATTGAACTGCAGTTTAGGAATACAATGTCAGCGCAAAAAAGTTTGTTTTATGAAGGCATAAAAATATATAACGTTCTGCCAGAGGAAGTTAAAAATTGCGATAGGCTAAAATTGTTCAAGAGTAGGCTTAAGGCGCATATTTTCGCAATGTAAAATATATAAGTTTAAATGTATATGAAAATAGTTGAGAAAGCTAATAAAAGCTCATCAATCTCTCTCTCTCTCTCTCTCTCTCTCTCTCCCCTCTCCCCCCTCTCTCTCACGCATATACTCCTCCATACACACATCGCGTGTAACAATCAGCTGATTACAGCGTTCGACGGGCGGTGATCCGGAATAACTTTTAATAATTAACGTTATTTTAAAGAACACGTATTTCCTAATTATAAGACATTTTTTCTTCTTTACTAAAATTTTATTTAAAGCATAATTTTATGTTATAAGATAAAATAGTTAGTGACTCATGCAGTGGTAATCACCCGTCGGGTGATCAGCTGCGCCCACGCTCGCGGCGCGCCAGGCCGCTCCTGTCTACCTTCTGTACCCGACGCGTGATTTACTAACTAATTTTGCTTATAACTCAAAAACTACGCTTCAAATCAAATTTTGGTACAGAAAAAATTGTCTTAGAATGGTGTCAGGAATACGTCATTTTATAGACGGAAGGTGTTTCGGAATCACCCTGTATATATATACAGGGTGTCCCATGTAACCTGACAAATCGAAATAACTCAAAAAATACGCATTTTACGACATAATATCCAAAATAAAAGTTGTTCCTGTCGAAGAGGGCCGTCGAATGATACCAAAATCGACCTCACCCCCGCTCCCCTGGAGGTGTGGTGGGGGGCAACTTTTAAATCTCAAACGGGAACAAAAGTTGTAGGACTTTAAGGGGCGCATTACATAGCATAGTTAGTGTAACCTTGGATAGTGTTGTTAAGGACACGGAAAAATCAATTAAAAGTTTTTAAATGGAAACCCCTATTTTTGATTGTATATTCTTATAGTTGACCTCGAGAGCTTTCCAAAACGCTATAATAAAGTTATTGTTCATGGAGTACTTTTCGAGTTATGAGGCTTGAAATAATTTCTTAATTTTACATAAACCATAAAATATCTAGTAAAATATTCATTTTTCAATTATCTTACCTTAATACTTTTATGTACGAAATAATGAGAGGAATCAACTGGTGTAAAGAAAACACAGTTATTTTTAAGAAAAAATATGAAATTTGCAATTAACAATTCCATATTTTTTCTTAAAAACAATTGTATGTTTTCTTTACACTAATTGATTCCTCTCATTATTTTGTACATAAAAGTATTAAGGTAAGATAATTGAAAAATGAATATTTTACTAGATATTTTATGGTTTATGTAAAATTAAGAAATTATTTCAAGCCTCATAACTCGAAAAGTACTCCATGAACAATAACTTTATTATAGTGTTTTGGAAAGCTCTCGAGGTCAGCTATAAGAATATATAATCAAAAATAGAGGTTTCCATTTAAAAACTTTTAATTGATTTTTCCGTGTCCTTAACAACACTATCCAAGGTCACACTAACCATGCTATGTAATGCGCCCCTTAAAGTCCTACAACTTCGGAACATTTTTCAAGTAAATGCGTATTTTTCGAAATACCAGCCTGATACGGTCGCTCTGATACACCCTGTATATATATATATATATATATATATATATATATATATATATACTTATACTACTACTAAATAAATAAATAAATATATATATATATATATATATATATATAATTAAATGTATATATATTATAATATAGATTATATTATTTTTATTTATACTTAAATTACATTAATAATTTTAAACTTTCTCTCCTTGCATTATTATACATATATATATTTCTTAACCAGTTAATGTGTATACAAGATAATACATCGTATAATACATTGATTTATTAAAAAATAACAAGACTTATACGTATCTTTATACAATTACATATATATAACTATGTTTATTAAATTTTTATTAACAGAATAAATAATATTAGGAGTACAAATAAGTCTCCGCCGTTTTTTATCAAAAATTGAGCATTTATTGTGAAAGAACGGTACCTTATGTTTTATTCAAAGTATTGTCCATCGCTAGCCACTACTTTTTCTCATCTTTCTGGTAGCATACGGATACCGCATCAGAAGAACTCTTCATCTTTTGAGGCTATCCACGAATCGACCCAATTTTTGGTATCTTCATTTGATGTGAAGTGCTGCTCAGGCAGGTCATGTGCCATCGATCGGAACAAGTGATAATCCGAAGGGGCAATGTCTGGTGAATACGGCGGGTGGAGTAGGACTTCCTAATTGAGTGTTTCCAAGTAGGTTTTGACCGGCGCCGCAACATGTGGACGAGCATTATCATGCAGGAGAATAATTTTGTCGTGTCTGGAGTAGTAGTGGGCGCGTTTTTCCTTGAGTGCTCGGCTCAATCTCATCAATTGTGTTCGGTGAGCCCCAGAGAGCCCCAGTAATGATTTCGTTCGGAGCAACTCATAATACACAACACCAAGTTGATCCCACCAAATACACAACATGAGTTTTTTTCATGAATATTCGGCTCTGTCGATGTTAAAGCATGGCCACATGGTCCCCATGATTTCCTCTTCTTTGGGTTATCGTAGTGGATCCATTTTTCATCACCAGTGACTATACGATGCTAAAAACCCTTTCGTTTATGCCTGGCAAGCAGCATTTCACATGTGCAAAATCGGCGTTCAACGTTTCTCGGCTTCAGTTCATATGGAACGCAATTTCCTTGCTTTTGAATCATTCCCAACGATTTTAAACGATGTGAAATTGCTTGTTGAGTCACTCCTAATGTAAGTGCAAGTTCTTCTTGCGTTTGGCACGAATCTTCCTCCAATAATGCTTCCAATTCTGCATTTTCATACACTTTCGGCCTTCCGCTACGTTCTTTGTCTTCGACGTCAAACTCACCGTTCTTAAACTTATGAAACCACTCACGACAACTTCTCTCACTTAAAGCAGCCTCACCATATGCTTCTACAAGCAATTGATGCGCCTCAGCTGCAGATTTCTTCAAATTAAAGAAGTAAATCAAAAGTTCCCGCAAATGACGCTTATTCGGCTCAAAACTCGACATTTTCGCACGAAAAAAATTATGTGATGCTAATACAAAATCGCTAATATTTCAAGGTTATGGTGTTGCTAGATGTCCAACCTTACGATATGACATTTTACATCTGACAATTTCAATCATAACTTACTGGTGAAGCCATCTTTTGTCAAACGGCGGAGACTTATTTGTACTCCTAATAAATACTTCATAAATATTTTCTACTATAATTCTTGCTATTTTTAGCTAAGTTATTTATAAATATATATGTATTATCTTTAATTATACTTTATCTTATATATATACAATAATAATTATTTAAGAACATATTTACTATAATGCAAATAGAGTTCAACATTCTTAATCTAATTTAAATATTGCAAGAAAAATTGCTAATAAAAAAAGTTTGTATAAAGAAGTGATTATACATTTTCTGGATTATTATTGTTTGTGCAAGATAATTATTATAATATGTAAAATTTTAAAAATAACTTGATCCTTTGAAAACTAAAGAATTATATATAGGAAATATTTATAAAACATACATTGTTTGTTTTATTGATAAAAATTTACTGAATATATTTAACATATTTTGAATATTTTTTTAAAAATATTTTTTGAATATAACCTATATACAATTCTTATTAGTTTTCTTATTAGTTTTTCAATAAACTAAACTATTTAAAAAAATATATGTATTACATGTATAGGCACTTCTTTATACAAGCTTCTTTATAAACAAACTCTTCTTATATTAATAAGATATATAATTATAGATAGATTATATAATTCTTCTAATATTTAAATTAAATTAATAAATTTAAATCTATCCACATTAGTATATTATTATGGTATATATAAGATAAAATTTAATACGTGCATTTTTATAAATAACATATTGTAATGATTTAAGAATATACATACTAACTTAAATAGAATTCAACATTACGTATTAAATCGTTACGTAATCAAATTTAAATATTACAGGAAGAGTTTACTTATATAAAAGCTTATATAAAGGAATAGCTATGTATTTCCTAGATAAGCTTATTGTACAAGCTTCTTTATAAGCAAACTCTTCCAGCAATATTGAAATTAGATTAGTAATAATGAATGCTATTCGCATTAGTACATATACTCTTAAATCATTACTACGCATAGTATATAAGATAACGTAGAACATATAATGCATATTTACAAATAACTTCCATATATTATCTTGCTATGTATTAATGTTTTATTAAGAGCACATACAATAATGCAGAGAAGATTTAAAATTATTAGTGTAATTTTACTATTATAATTATTATATTATTTTACATATTAACGTATATGTGTACATATGTATATGTAATGTATATATATATTATATATATGTATATACATGTACATACATATAATTACAATATAGTTTATATATTTTATACATATTGTAAATATAATTGTAAATATAAATATGTACAAGTAATATGATTTTTGCGATCAAAGTTTTTCATACTTTCTTTTAAAAAAGAGCATTATTTATACACATATTTACATATCTTCTTTATTCTTTAGACTTTTCCTTTTTCTCTCTTTCTCCTTCTTCTATCCTCTTCGAGATTCTTTTTACTTCTTTCTTAACGCACTACTATTATGTAATACGAAAGAGCAGAGTAACAAATAGGTTATGGATGACGAAGCGCTCGAGCGCTACGCTACTTCCCGCGAATATATCGGAACGCATCAGCATCCAATCAGCATCGCAGAAAAGGAGGCTTCAACGTTTCGATATATTCGAGTAATCGAGTTAACATACACTTTTTAAGGTAGGACGATTTATGATAGACTAATAAAGGTTGTCTAGTCTTTCTCTGTGTGTTGATGAAGAGGTTGACATGATAATCTTGACGAAGTGATTTCCTTATTTCTCACGATAGAATAGTTAACTAAATTACTGTATGTATATAGCTTGTTGCTCATTTTTTATTTCAAAATCAATGTAATTTATTTTTTGTTTGTAATACTGGAAATAATTTTTTGTAGTTCACTCGAAAAGGACAAAAGCCTATGGTCGAAACGTTGTGATTTTTTACCATCAATAAAATGCCAGTGTGGTAGATTTTAATTACGTCTTTTATTTTATCTACTGGCGACTTTCAAGAATTTAATGTTAAAAATGTAATTATTTATTACTTGGTAATTATTAGGCCGAGTCTACAATAAGTGTAGTAAGCTTTAAGCTTTGAGAAATTAACCAATTGAATTTAGTCATCATTACAAATGTGTAGCCGTTTCGAACGTGTAGCCATTCCGAACGTGTGGCCATTCCGAACGTGTGGCCATTCCGAACGTGGCCATTACGAACGGGTGGCCATTACGAACATGGCCGTTACGAACGTGGTCAAATCGAACTTTATTTAATATTTCCCGTGGCCATTCCGAACGTGGCCGTCTCGAACGTGGCCGTTTCAAACGTGGCCATTCCGAACGTGGCCATTTCGAACGTGGTCAAATTTATCCGTGGCCATTTCGGACGCTCCCGCATGATCGATCCAAATAACTGACATCTATGTACCGATCAATTTATTCCAATTACAGTCGGTAATTTCTCATATGATAAAAAAATTGATACATGAAATAAAACTCACTCTATATACGTGTCCTTTATCGCACTAATTTATCAATTGATTAATATGAGTAGATGTTATACACCGGTTCTAACTCAGGTCCTCCCACAGGACTTGGGTGAGAATCGGTGAAGCGCGAGGGGAACCGCGGTGCGGGGGAGAGTGACGCCACGCGCGGGGAAGGAGGAACCGCGGCGCGCAGCGGGTGATGTCACGCGCGGGGAAGGGGGATCAGCGACGCGACCGATGGACGAGGAGGTCCGCGCAGTGAAGGGGATCCGCGGAAAGAAGACGGTGTGAAAAGGACAGCGCTACGTGTGGGAAAAGGATAGTGCTACATGTGTGACAAGGATGGCGTTAACGTGGGACAAGGATGACGCATAGGTGAGAGAAGGACGACGCAAAGGTAAGTGAGCAATGAGTATATGAAAAGAGAGAGAGAACGATAATATTGTGAACAACGTGAGAGAACGATAATGCAAAACAACGTGCGAGAGAGAACGATACCGCGAGACTTACAATTAGCGCGCGTGAAAGAAAGCGCAATGACGATAGCGCGAAGACGACGCGTGCAAGAGAGAACGATACTTATAACTAGCGCGAAAGAGACGCAAGGGAGAGGCGTGTAAATAATCACATTTTTTTACAATTAAAATATAAATTTATTTAACTCTGTACATTTTTGTGTCAGCGTGAGAGATTACTTATTCTAAGCGCGAAAGACGAAGATAGACTTACAAGGAGTTTCCGTCGAGCCACGGACGATCCGGTCCAGAGTACGAGCGCTCCCGTACTCGGTCGGTTGCAACCGACGCCTGGAACTGTCCGGCTCTCAACCTTGCACTCCGAATAGCCGATCTCACAGCTCCTGGTCGGGCGCCGTTTTCACAGCTCCTGGCGACAGCCGTTCTCACGGCTCCTGGCGACAGCCGTTTTCACGGCTCCTGGCGATAGCCGTTTTTCACGTCTCTTGGATAAATAGCCGTTGTTACGGCTCCTGAACGAGCGCCGTATTCACAGCACTGGAGGATAGCCGCTTCCGCGGCGCCCGGGCGACAGCCGTACCCACGGCTCCTGGACGACCGCCGCATCCACGGCACTGGAGGACCACCGTTTCTCCGGTCTTTGGACGCTGACCACCCGCTCTTGGAATACTAGCCGTTTTCACGGTTCCTAGACTAATAACCTGTTGTAAATAAAGATTGGTCTCCACTATCCTAGATCCCTAGTCAACTCTCCTTCTCGTGGCCGTCAACGAACCGCTCGTTCACTGTCTTCGAATCGCGAGCCCGCGAACTCTACTTTGGAGGCCCTGATTAACTCCCCTGGTCTAGAGCCCGGTTGCTACCGGGCCCGGTCGGTTGCTACCGACATACAGTATCCCGGCGTACCACGGGGCATCCGTGTACGCCACCCTGAGAACGGGTGCTCCGTCCTCGGCCGACTTCGGTTGGCAGACCATGCTAGGTTCCGTGTTCGTGCCTTGTTGCGCGTAACCATCCGTTAGGGCTTTCGCGTCCGCGAGGAGATCTTACGTGCTACGCGGCGGGTAAGCACCCACCGCTTTGTAAATAATTCCGTTGCGCGACTAGGGCGCGATTCTTTATAAATAACTAGGATAAG